ATGTACCTGCATCATTTTTTAAGGGAAACAGTTTCTCAGAGGGTGTGTGGCCCAGGCTCAGGAGGAATCCCTGTCCTAACTCCTGGAGTGGGACCTGGCTCTGAGCTGGGAGGCCTGCAGGAGAACCCTTCACCCAGGTACCCTTTCTCTCCTGGTAGAGTGAAAGCATTCCTAATGCTGTGTGCTATGAAGACAGCGACTGCCCTCTTGGGGAGCCTGTTATGACTGGAAATGGTAAGGCCTGGAGTGGCCAGGGCTGGGGACAGAAGGGGGCTTGACGCGGGGAGACTCCTTGGCATTGTCCCTGTCCCACCTCTGCAGGAGTGAGGACTGGCCGCTGCCTGCAGTCAGGGAACATGCAAAGGGGCACCTGTGAGATCTTCGCCTGGTGCCCAGTGGAAACAAAGTCCAGGCCAGAGTGAGTGGCTGTGGATCGGGACCCTGAGGAGTCACCCAGTCCTGTGCAGTGGGCCCCAGCCTGATGGTAGAGACATATGCACTCTGGGATCTTTATTCTGGGGACACACCACAAGGCCTGAGCACCACCCCAACATGAATAGATTAATTGTGCTTGGCAAAGGTTCCAGGGAACCCAGAGAACAGGCAGGCCTCAGCCCCACCAAAGGCCTGGGAGGCACGAAGGGAGCTGGGGCTGGGGCAGGGGCTGGCACTGGGGCAAGGGCTGGGCCTCCTGAACAGGCTGTCCTGGCTTGGTTTTCAGGAAGCCACTCCTGGGCAAGGCTGAAGACTTTACCATTTACATAAAGAACTTCATTCGTTTCCCCAAATTCAACTTCTCCAAGTATGTGGGGCTTGGCTACTGGGGACCGAGCGGTGGGGTCTTGGCTGGAGCTTCCTGGTGGCTGTGCATGGGCCCGTGTGTATGTGTCCATGACACATGTGTGTGAATGAACCACCAGGGGAGACTGGGGCGCCCCTTCCCCTGCTGTGGGGGTGGTGCTCTGTTCTTGAAGGCAGTAGGATATGAGCGAGGGAAGTAGTCAGGACTCGAGTAGAGGGGCTAAAGTCAGGAACTTAGCCTGGGCCCGGTGAAGGGCCCTGGGACTTCTGGGTCAAGTCCAGTTTCTGGCATGGAAACAGCTAGTCTACCTTCATTTCACTGGCTGTTCATGCCCTCCACTCAGGACCAATGTGCCAGACACCAAAGACAGAGATTTCTTGAAGTCTTGTCGATTTGACCCCAAGAACCCCTACTGCCCCATCTTCCGGCTGGGGTCTGTGGTCAGCTGGACTGGGAGCAACTTCCAGGAGATAGCCCTGCAGGTGGGTGATACGCACCCAGAGATCCCTCCCTGGGGCCTAAGGGCTCTGGGCCTGGGCTCTGTAATGAAGGAGGTGTGCAGGGGTACCCATGGGATGGGGTGGCCCTGCAAAGTCACCTGCCCCAGGGACTCCCTGTTTTCAGAATTAGCCAGCTGTGCCTGTGCTTGAACCTTGGGCACTCAGTGAGGGACACACTCAGTACCCGCTGTTTGGTTCTTAGTCCCTGGGGCATCAGCTAAAACTGAGCCAGAAAGAGCCCCACTGGCACATCCTGGCTCTGTGTGAGGTGCCTGCCTGTAGTACGTGCTCACTCTGGTAGTTTGTTCTCTGAGGCACGAGGCAGGAGGAGACTGGGGCTGGGGGCTGTCAGCGACACATTTTTCTCAGCCACTCCAGAGGCGGGGCTAGAACCTCGGGCCTTCCACCTTCCTCCTGGGGGTGGACCCCTGGCCCGAACACATCCCCAGTCTTGTCCAGCTCTCCGTGAAGAACTGGTCTGTGATTTCTGTCCATCTCCAAAAGTTCTATGTACTGATTCTTGTCTCTTATTTATCAAGGGCGGTGTGATAGGGATTCAGATTGAGTGGGACTGTGATCTTGATAAAGCTCCTTCTGAATGCAACCCACGCTATCATTTTAGCCGTCTGGACAGCAGAATCCCAGGAAACTCTGTTTCTTCTGGGTACAACTTCAGGTAACTTGGGCTAGGCCTACTGCCTTAGGACTCTGTCCATGTTTTGTGTCTTTTCCTGGGTGCCAAAGCTATGACACTCTTTCCTGGGGGGTTGGGTGTCAGAGTGGGAGGTGCAGAGAAAGACAGCTGAGGAGAAGGGAGGGATGGCTACCGGGAGGGCTTCCGGGAGAGGAGATAAGGGTCCGTCATTGCCCTGGGCTTGCCATGAAGCCGAGGCTAGACTTCTCTGCTGGATTAGCTCCATCAGTGCTTTGGTGGCCCTGGCTGGCCCAGTGTGTCGTGAGAAAGCCTT